CTATCTTGAGATACCAGTGATGGAGCCTAGAAATTTTGCAGGTTAAGCAGATTCTCTACCACTTGAGATTGTTCAGATAGATTTGTCTTATTCTAAACAGGAGGTGGAAGAGCAGGGCTGGGAAAGACCTTGAACTTTCAAGGTTACCTAGTGAAGTTTCTCAGGCAGAGCCTGAGAAATAGCCTTCTTTGGAAAGGCCAGGAGGGTTTTCGGGGGGGGGGGCAGATGGAAGACCTGGCCTTGACCCACTAAATAAGCAATAAAAGAAACCAGCTGCCTAGTTAGAAGGTCTTTGCTGTTGTGCCATCTTGCCCTCAAGCAGCAAGAGCCACCCAGAGGGTGAAGTCAGGCACTTTACCAAAAGGGAGGTACAGAGGGGAATTTTCCAATTTAGAGTCAACATTTTACATGCGCAGGTGCTTCTCCCTAAACTTTGGCACAAAGCTGTTTTTGTGTATACTGCTCTGTAATCTGTTAAATATCAATAACAGACTTGCATTTCAAAGGATTGTCTTGAGTTTGATAGCCAGAAGGAAAGAACCAACTCACAACACCAGCCAGGCATGCCATCTCGCAGGGTACTCCATTCCATTTCCCAGCTTTCCTCCCCCACAACAGTTTTCCATTTTTATTCACAGTCACTCAATGTTCCTTTCCCACTGAACATTCTCCATCTTCATTGAGCTCTTTTTGGACTATCTCCCCTTAGTGGGGGTTCCCCTCACACACACAAAAAAAAAATTGTACTTCTGCAAACCCCAAGTCTGTTGATAGTGCCTTAATCATGAGTGAAAAGTGCTGCTGTGGCTACTTAAGGATTCACCCTTGGAGAAATTGTGTTCTGTTTTGGTTAATGATGACTATCAGGTTCAAGCCTGCTTAGAAATGTCCTGCTGGTCAATTGAGCTTGCTTAGCACAACTACATTCAGAATTGAACTTTTTAAAATCATTGCATTCATTTTGTTGGAAATTTATTTAATACTGGAACTGAAAGCTGAATCATTCATGTCTAGAGAAACTTTACTGAGTAATATTCAGTGAGGCACCTGTGCCCCTGCAACTTCCCTTCCATTTCATTAATTCCCTTGTGCAAGTGGGACTCACTGCTTCAACAAGGAAAATTTAGCACTTCCTAGAGCAGGGGTCTCAAACTCAACTTGCCTGGGGGCCACTGGAAGTAGAGTCTGGGTGAGGCTGGGCCGCATCAAGTATTCCACTACCGCGGTGGTGGTGGGCCGCTCATCCCGCGGCCGGCCCGGGCGCTGCCAGCGCTTTGAAGGCCGCAGGGCCCATGCCCTGCCTGTCCTGGCAATTGGCCCGCGGGCCGCAAGTTTGAGACCCCTGTCCTAGAGGAAGTCCCAAGACAAATGGAAGTATTCATTTCTGGAAGCAAGCAAGTAGGTGGGAGTCCCCTAATGAGTTCTGCTAACCTACCCACTTCCAGAAATAAGTGTTATATTTGTTTTGAGTAGTCCCTGGAAATACTAAATCACTAGTAGTGGAGGCAACTTGCACAATGAAATCGGAGGGGGAGGGGGGGCGGGGAGGCAAAATCACATCATTGGATATTGACCATTAAATTATTATAATTCATTGCATTTATTTGTTGAAAGAATTAATTGTTGCTTGGAACATGATACATTAACTAATTTCTTTCTATAGTTAATATAGCTATTGAGTCCATTGGTCTTAATTGTTCTAATAAAGTAAATGTTTTAAAATTGGGAGGATGGATCCATTAGTGCCCAGCCACTAGTCTTGTTTATGTTGCACTAGCAGAACCCAGTCCATGTGCAATAACAAGTGCTTGCCACCTTGACAGGTCTCTGAGGAAACACATCACATACTTCATTAAAAACTACAACTCTCCAGAATACTCCATGCATCTGATGAAGTAGGCTATAGTCCATAAAAGCATATAATTTTATAAGAGCCAGAATTTGTTAGCCTTTAATGTACCACAAGATCCTTTGTTGTTTTTGCTGTAACAGAGTAACATGGGTACCTCTGGAAACTAAACAATAGTTTTTATAATTACTAGCTGGAATGGAACAGGGAGAGAAGGAACCTGATAAAACTGATCTTTCAGTAGAATATTACCTTTGGGCCAGCATTCTTTAATGAAAGAAGATGGAATGTAGTACCTATGAAAAGAACTACAGTAGCAGCTTACAATTTGCAGGCTCAGACCTGGAAAATATGAGCAACTTTAAAGGTGGCTTAAAACATTGTATACCATAACACTATAATCATATAAAACAATAAACGCAGGCCTGAATAAGTATTAAGGCTGCAATGACTCAGTGCTCAGGCAAAGACCTTTTTTTTAAGGTATTCATATCTCTTACATTAATCTTTGCCATGAACAGTGATTGTATAGTCTGAGAATCTTGGGAATAAGAGGAGGTTCAAACATTGTATGTATGGGAAAGCAAATATTGATTCATTTTTATTCTATGTTAATGTATTTGTTAATTGAATTTCTATAGAGATGGTGGAAATGTGAACATATCATTCTCATTATTGTCAAAATCTGTTTTCCCTTGTGGCCTAGAAGCTTTTCATTGTAATGTTAAGAAGCAATGTAGTTTGAAGTATTTTCATGGGGCACCTTAATGAAGACTGGTTTTAGTTTTCATATAGAGTACATAAATCTATACAACCTGGTTTAAGTTATCATAGGAGTGGATATTAGAAGTTCAAGGGGGTAAGACTGTAACTTGGATTCAATGGAGGAGTTCAAACAGAAGACACAAAAGAGGGTCTCCCGAGCAAATTAGATGGGGCCTTCAACACAAGTTGCCCTGTTCGGCCCTTTCTGTGTCATGTCACTATTGCTATGTAAATCTTAATGACCTTATATTGTAGTAGTGGCAAACATCATGAGACACATTCCAATGAATGCGGGATCTGGGAGTGGTTATTATTTTAATTTCCCACAATGCCTCCATCATTCATTCATTCATTTATTTAGACAACTTGTATGCTGCCCCCATCGCATAAGCCTCGGGGCAGCTTACAATCATTAAAATCCTGCGTATAAATACAAAAAAAATTTCATAGAATAAATAAAATACATAAAATAGTGGAAACAGCCTGGTTTAAAATCAACAAATAAACCTTGACAATTAAAATAGTGTTTAAGTAGAAAGGTCTTGGCCTGGCGCCAAAAAACAAATAACGACAGCGCCAGGTGGACCTCTCTGGGGAGCGCATTCCATAGGTTGGGCACCACCACAGAGAAAGCCCTCCTCTGAGTACTCACCCTCCTAATATCCTTCACGGAGGGTTCCCGGAGAAGGGCCTCTGCCGCTGATCTCAAGGAGCAGGAGGGCGTATATGGACTCAGGCACTCCTTTAGGTAACCAGGACCTAAGCCGTTCAGGGCTTTATAGGGGATAACCAGCACCTTGAATTGGGCCCGGACTTCAGTGGGGAGCCAGTGGAGCTGACGGCGGACTGCAGAGCAGTGCCCCCAATCCCGCTAGCCTATTCAGAAGGATACTATGGTCGATGGTATCGAAAGCCGCTGAGGGTCCAGGAGAACCAACAGAGATGCACTCCCCCTGTCTTTCTCCCTGTACAGGTTATCGTACAGGGCGACCAAGGCAGATTCAGTACCATACCCAGGTCTGAAATGGGTCCAGATAATCAGTTTCATCCAAGAGTGCTTGGAGTTGTCCCACCACCACCCGCTCAAACACCTTGCCCAGAAATGAGATGTTGGCCACCGTCTATAATTGGTGGCCATCTCTGGATCCAGGGAAGCCTTTAGGAAGCCTTTAAAGGGGCAGGTACATGGCCATCCCTCAGAGAGGCATTGACAACCTCCAGGATCCAGATCCCTATCCTGTCCTTGGCTGTCTTGAGTAACCAAGATGGGCAAGGGTCCAGTAAGCAGGTGGTGGAACGTACTCGTCCAAGCACCTTGTCCACATCATCAGGCCGCAATAACTGAAATTCATCCATCAATTGTGGACCAGACGGCAGCATTGGCTCCTCCCCGAAGGTTCTGAGTCACTAGTGGAGTCCAGCTTGTGACAAATCTGAGCGATTTTCTCCTTAAAATGTTTGGCAAAGTCGTCACAGCGGGCCATCGAGGGTGGTACCAGGTCTTTCTTAGGGCCTGGATGAACCAGCTCTTGTACCACCCGAAAAAGCTCCGCTGGACAGCATTGTGAGGAGGCAATGGACGCGGAGAAAAATTTCTTTTTTGCCGCCCTCACTGCCATAGCATAGGCCCGATAATGTGCTCTTAAGTGTGTTCGGTCAGATTCATCCCGTGATTTCCTCCACCTACACTCTAGCCATCTCCCAACTCGCTTCATCGCCTGTAATTCAGGTGTGTACCAAGGGGATGAATGGGCTCTGCCTGGCGGGAGAGGACGCTTAGGAGCGATCGTGTCAATAGCCCTGGTCATTTCCCCATTCCACAGTCTGACCAGATCTTCGACAGGAGCACCAGCCTTGTCAACTGGAAATTCCCCCAGGGCCTTCAGGAAACCATCTGGATCCATCTGGCTCCGGGGGCAGACCAGCACAATCAGGTCCGCACCCTTACAGAGGGAAAGGCCGCTCTCGAGCTCAAACCTCACGAGGAAGTGGTCTGACCATGACAGGGAAGTCAGACATAAATTCCTCACCCTCAGATCACCCTCTTCCTGCCCCGTCGAGAAAACCAGGTCCAGAGTGTGTCCACGTTCATGGGTCGGGCCAGTGACATGTTGAGACAGCCCCATGGCCGTCATGGAGGCCATGAAGTCTTGAGCCACCCCGGTCAGAACCGCCTCGACATGGAGATTGAAGTAACATCAGTGTGAGCACGCTGTTGAAAAGAAAATGGCACCAACTCTCTGATACAGCCACCTGTTTCTCCTATGAATATTAGAGGATTGTTATTTGTAAGGGAAGCAAAGCAGTGTCTGCTGTAAGTTACAAACATAAGGTATATGTTGGTGAACCTAAATGTGATTAAGCCGTTCACATTTTGCTTTTTCAGACAAGAAGCCCTTCTAGCTGCCATTAGTGAAAAAGATGCCAACATTGCTCTGCTGGAGCTGTCATCCTCCAAGAAAAAAACCCAAGATGAAGTAGCTGCACTGAAACGAGAGAAAGACCGCTTGGTGCAACAGCTCAAGCAACAGGTACAAAAATATTAGGCAAGATACTGTGGGGCTTGGTGGTTAATTTGGTGTGTATGACTTAATATGAGTGAGTTATCCATTCATTTTGTGGTGTGTCTGTGGTTAATGCCTCTCAGCATTCCTTCTATTAATGCCTGCTCACAAAGGACCTTCCACAAAACTAATAGCATAACATTTTGATGTGTTTTTTTCCAAGTATGGGGCAGGGTGTATAATCACACGCTGGCTGGTTTTCTCAGAATGAGAGTGCACCAAGGATTGAGATGCTCTTCTTTAAGTTTCTGTTAGGGTTGCAGATAGCCGATGATGATGATGATTCATATTATTCCTGTTCCTAGTAATGAGACTCAAAGTAGCACAAGACTACTTCCCATAAATAGTTATTTACAAGGGCAAAGTAAATTATAGACTTAAATTGTGATCATTTTATTTACTGTGATACCAAATGTAGCCAAACATGGATCTCCTGGATTTCAAGAAAACCAATTTTAATGAACTCAGAATAATGTTAAGTAAAGTTCCATGAGAAAGGGATTCCACAAAGGGTGGGGAATTGTTTTAAAGGAAATTCTAAAGGCACTATTACAAACAATTTCAACAAAGAAAAAAGATAGAAGACAGCAGAATAAGTCCATGTGACTTCACAAAAAGCATAGATATGATCTGAAAAAAAAGACATGTATAGGAATTGGAAAGAAGGCCTGAATACAAAGGAAGAATACTAGCAGGTAGCATGGAATTGCAGGGAAGGAAGCCATCAGGAAGGCTAAAGCTAGGATGAACTGAGGTTAGCAAGGGATGCTAAAATCAACAAAAAAAGCCTTCTTCAAAAATGTCCAAAGTAAAAGACAGAGGAAAGAAATGGGGGTTCAGCTAGTCAATGTGAATGGCAAAATGATAACAGATGACAAAGAAAAGGCAGAAGTGCTTAATTCTTAATTTGACTCAGTCTTCTCCCAAAAGAAAATCTGAGGTACATCTGATTGGTCATGGATCATCTGATTGGGTTGAATGAGTTCAGATTTCCTAGTCCCAATGAATCCATCCTAGAGGAATAAAGCAACTGGCAGAAGAACTCTCAGAACCACTGACTTTTATCTTTGAAAAACCGTAAAGAACAGGGAAAGTGCAAGATGACTGGAGAAGGGCTAATGTTGTTCTAGTCTGACATCAATCCCTGGGAAAATTCTGGAGCAGATTATATAGCAGTCAATCTGCGAACACCTTGAAAACAAGAAGCCAACAGTAATGTCTCAAGAATAAATATTGCCAGAATAATCTGATTTCATTTTTTCATTGAAAGCACTGGGCACTTTTAGCCTTGAGAAAGGAAGACTGAGGGGGGAAATGATAGCACTCTGCAAGTATTTGAAAGGCCATCACGAAGAGGAATGACAGGATTTCTTCTTGATCATCCTAGAGCACAGATAATGGAATAATGGGCTCAAGTTACTCAAAGCTGAACTCTGACTAGGTATCAGGAAGTTATGGGCTCTCCCACACTAGAGTCATTCAGAATGCAACTGGACAGCCATCTGAGAGGGACTGTTTAACTGAGTCATGCACTGAGCGGGGGGTTGGACCTGATGGTCTTCTGGCACCTTCCAACTCTATTATTCTATGATTACGGTACTACTTTTGGCCCTTAAAATCCTAGGCTATCTCAAGCATTGTCCCACTCTGTTAGCTAAATCAAAATTGGTTTAAGTGAAAGAGGCCATATACATAGTTTAAAAAGTGTGTGTGTGTAGCAAGAGAGAGCCTCTTTCGCTTAAACCAGTGTATTGATACATCTCCATGTATATTTGTTCAACAGTTAATATATTCACCAGAACCTTTCTCCAAGTGCTCCCACTTTCTAACATTAGGCAGTTGTGCATTGGAAAGTGTTTTAAGAGGTGGTGCCAAATTATGGAATTCCTGTCTTAAGCAGGTACACCTGGCACCTATATTATCAACTTTTCAGTGCCAGGCAAACCCTTACTCTTAGGCTTTCAATGATGTTCATTCTTGTTTCTCCTCATATCATATAAATATTTCAATGACTTCTGGCTTGGCCTTTTAAAAGATATCTCCTGCTCCTGGTATGTGATTTGGCTTCACTTCGCTTCGCTTTTATTGGTTTCAGGAATTGTATTTTATTGATCTTATCCTGTCTGCCCTGTTTTTATCATTTTGTTTTGACTTTAATTGTTGTAGTTGTTAATTACATTTCTATACTGATCATAGCCAAAGTTCTCTGGGCAGTTCACAACAGAGAGATAATTGCAATTTTTCATTGTTAGCCACCTTGAAACTTCTCTAAATGAAAAAGGATACAAATTCTAATATAAATAATCAACAATGCCACCATAATTCTGTTATAAATATTTTAAGTACAGGTTAAGACACATTTACCTCCAAAATTATTGAAAATTGTTTAGAATAAAGAGTACCTCTGGTTTGGGCGGGGGGGGGGGATTAATATAATTTGCATAAAACAGTCCCTGGAAAGATAGTGGCTTAGTTTCCATAGAGGAGTAAATAAGTACTATTAGGGATAATGCCTAATTTTCTTGAAAAAGTCCCCAAAATTAATATGAGATAGTTGCATGTGCACTCCTGTATTTAAGATGCTATCCTAGACTAGCAGGTAATCAGGCCTTCAAAAAAGTTCAAGTACTTCATCCAGTCTCTTCAGTTGCTTTTTACATGGTGTTATTGTTTTTCCCAAAGAAGGACTTGTGACTATTCACTATAAATCATCTTTGTAAGTAATTTATGTGTCCACTCACCTAAAGAAATGTTCTTACTTTATTTTATTTTGCAAGAGTCTTTCTTTTCAGGAAAGGTTCTACCTGATTGGCTCCTTAGTGGCAGCTTAGGGGAATGCTGGTCTTCTCCTTTCCCTAGCTAATGCAAACACTGGAGAACTTCTAGAGAGGAAAATCTTTATTCAGAGAGCTGTAGAAGTCTTGATAAACTTTAGCTAAGTAATTCCTGTGCTGGTATTTTTAACATATTACTTTGCCAGAAAGTTAGTAACAGCTGCCATATTTGGACAGCCACTGCTGAATCCCAGCCACCACCAGCACCAGCACCACTTGCTTCACTTTCACTGCCATTATGACTAAATTATTATGTTGCCAAAGGCAGTAAATTGTAGCCAAAGACCCTTTGTACCAAAGATTTCTTCTAAAGGACTGGTGTTCTGTTTGCAGTGGTTTTTCACTTAACATTTAAAGTTGAAGTAAAATGTTTAACGTTTGAAAATTAAGGTCTTTTTCCAATAGTTAAAACTAACATTAAAGCAGGTCAAAAATCAACTTTACAATATGTAACATTCAGCTTTACTGGAAGAATCATAAATACTGTCACTTTACAGCAAGATGGCTTTACACCAACAAAAGCCTTTGAAACACACTTTAATGTAAAATACATACTCCTATTTCATCATTTTGATCAAAGGTTTCTTGGCATTTGACATCCATCTTCAACAATATGAGGAGGTAAAAGATTCTAGAATTACAAGAATCTATAATCTGGTACCTTAATACACAAGACAAAAGCCTCATAGGTATTCTGTTATGAGTGCCTGATATTTTCATCCTGGAGGTTTAGAATTGCTACTAATGATGGTGATTTTTAAAAAAATCAAGCAAACTACCTCTCAAAGTCCTCTAGTCTGTACTTCTGTACTAGTCTGTACTGTAATTCCTGCCAGACAAACTTTGTGGAATTCTATGACAAGGTTTTGCGATTGCTAGATGGAGGGGATGCAGTGGATGTGGTATACCTGGATTTCAGCAAGGCCTTTGACAAAGTGCCCCATGATACCCTGGTGGAGAAACTGAGGAGTTTGGGATACACCAAAGCACTGTCCGGTAGATTAAGGCATGGTTGACTGACCGAAAGCAGAAGGTAACCATTAACGGGGAATCATCGGGATGGTGGCCAGTGACAAGCGGGGTCCCCCAGGGCTTTGTCCTGGGGCCGATCCTGTTTAATCTTTTCATTAACGACATGGAAGAAGGGGTGAACAGTCTGCTGATCAAATTCGCAGACGACACTAAAACTGGAGCAGTGGCCACAACTGAGGAGCAGATACTCCAGATCC